ATAATAAAAGAGAAGCACAAGATTAAAGTTGAGTCTCCAATGTGAGAGAAGGTGCGCATCGATGTTCATAGCTATAGATATACCACAGCATACTTTAGTATACCTATAGCTATGAACATCGAAGCGCACCTTGTCTTATTGGAGACTCAACTTCAAACATAGCTGTGATCCAGTCCTTACAGATTATCCATCAACTGACCTTCTTGTTCCAATATAAACAATCAACTTCTTTGTTTTGGTTTGCTATCATTCACTGTATTGAGAAGGTATTTGATTTGAAACAATTTAATATATTTAGCATAATTTAATATTCTGCTAAATTTTGATAAAAACAAGGAAATTTCAAATGTCATTGTTACATTAATAAAGAATGTTTCATATTGATTGGTGTGTTAACTTCAGGCGGGCTTTTTTAAGACTAGTTGAATATATATGAAGTCAAAGTAAATAAATATTTAAATTCAAAAATAATAATGTTAAAAATTCATTGATAAATCACTAGGCATGTGAGACTAGAAATTATACTCATATTATCGATTTACTTGGAGGTTCCATTCTGGAAACAATCGACCTTACTAAATAAACAAAAACAATAAATTAAATAAAATAAATGAACTAATAGATAAATAAACAAATAATTAAATGAATTAAAATTACCTTCGATATTATAACCCCCTTATCAATAATTTTCATAACACCTAGTCTAATTTTAATATATAAATAAATTAAAATAACATATGCGATAGTCAGATAGGTTATCACAATATAAATCCTATTAAAAATTATCTTATTAAAATTATATTATATATATATCTTATTAAAATTATAAACATGTCCGACTTACAATCGGAACGCAAAAGCAATAAACAGGGGGACAGTAATGGTAAAAAGAAAAAATTTAAACCATGGGGTAGAGGAAGAAGCCGTCCAAGTGATCATCATCAGGAAGGTAAAGATTTAGATATGGGGTTACGATCACCCCGTCCTGGTGATATTAATAATATTCGAGAAGAGGATAGTCCCAATGATAATTCTTATTCAGAAACAAACACAGAAAACTCGTTAGAGAGGGTAACAAGAATAACGAAACAATTGTACAGCAGGATAGAAAAAACGACCCCAGCTATTATGTTTAGCAACTCGTCCCCTACAACATCTTATGGCAAAAGAACATTTGGAGAGAGAGCGGATCAGAAATCAGAGAAAGAGAAAGTCTCTGATAGACCCAACTCTTTCTCTCCACCGTCAATGCAAATTAAAAAGAAATTTAGGTCAATTATCACGGGAATAACAGACCCAGATCCAGCTCAGTTCCAACCCGAAGCGGGAATATTAAGGACAAGCTCACCGATGGTACCTGAACAAACGACATCACATTCCGGTCTAGATCAAAATCGCAACCTGCAGGCAAGTGATACAGGGGATCCAAATAAATCAGTTATATCCAATCCCCCCACTCACACCCAGTTTGACTCTGAATTTCGATGGTTCTCAACACCATCAACTGCCAGTGACTATAAACACACTTATGATGATTCATTTGACACCCCCTATTTGGTCATAATGGAGTCTACCAACCCCCGAAGGAATTTAGGGAGATATGACCCCATGGCGATAGGTAAAATGGTAGCAGGTTTAATCCAGGGGGACATAAGGGTCTTTGTCAGTGGTAGAAACCAAATAAAAATATTTTGCGAACTGTTATATGATGCCAACTCCTTACTGGATTCACCCAAACTCCAGGAATTGGAACTGAAATCATATATTCCAGATTCAATGTTGTTTAGAAAGGGCAATATTAATGTACACTCTGAACATTCGGTGACAGACATCGTGAACAACTTAGATGAAGCAACTCTGTCAATCCTGTCTTCAGCAGTTAGGAGAGTCCAAAGGGGCAGTAACCTCCCCCTTGACTCTATAGAACTCAGATTTAAATCAAAGCATATTCCCAAAACTGCATTTATTCACAGCGTAGCCCACCACATTTACCCGGTAATACCGCAACCAAAAAGATGCCATAGATGCCAGCTTTTTGGACATATCTCCACGCAGTGCAGAGCATCTAGATCCATATGCGAGCACTGTGGGGGATTCCATGAGTCTGACAAATGTGAGGACCAGTCATCTACTGACTTCTGTATCAACTGCACAGGGGAACATAAGTCGTCTTCCAACACTTGTCCGGTCTACAGGTATGAGTACCTCGTGATGAAAGAGTGTTATCTATACAGTCTCACGAAGGATGACGCTGTACTTAGACTGCAGAAAAGAGGTATTTATAAGCTTGGACCTGATGATGTCATAATGGAAACATCTGCTTCCCCATCAGGACCAGGAAGCCCCAACCACCAAATGTCTCCAAGAGGCAGTCCTCAAGCCATCACCAAAGAAAATAACAATCATGGTAACGTGCAACAGAATGATAAAAAACAACAAATGCTCAATTCAAATACAACAGGGAACACCGCGAGAAACTCCCAAGCAAGCAACATTTCAGACCCCCATATTTCACAGGAGACCGCACCTAGCAATCTGCAATCCACAACGGAGTCAATTTCAACCAGTCAAATAATTAAACAGACACAAAAGGGGCCTAATGGACCTGAAACTTCCAAAACAAACACCACCCAGAAAACAATTAATCGCACGGTTAATTTATCCTAAAAACTCTTGACTATAATAGTCGCACATGCCTTGTTAATTTTTACCCACCCTTGAAGTTAGCGAAATATTTAGTTAGTTAGTGAATTAGTTATAGTTAATTAGACAGTAAGTTAGATAATAAGTATGGATTCCCCATTGGAGGAAGCAAATTTTAAATGTGCTACTTGGAATGCACGAAGTCTGCTCAAAAAGAAAATTAATTGTGAAACTTTATTATTACAACACAACCTTGACCTTCTCTCAGTGACTGAGACTTGGTTTTCTGGAAAAACAAACTACTATAATATTAAAGGATACACCTGCTTTAGATCTGATAGAAAACTCCCTACACCGGGGGGAGGTTCTGCAATATTTATTAGGAATATTTATACTTTTGAAGGAATTGACCTGATAGGCCCATGGACGGAGATACTACAGATCGTTGGCGTTAGAGTAAATACAATATTGGGACGAGTGTACATCTTTTTGATTTACATCCCTTCTAATGCTAAGGTCACGGCTGACCTTCTGTCTGAGATGGCTGAAACAATCCCAAAGGATGGGAAGATTGTATTAATGGGAGACTTCAACGCTCATCTCCCCGAATATCTCCCATTCCGCAGCAATAAAATAGGCAAATTGATACCTCTGCTACAGGAGATTCTAAATATCAATATCATCAATGATGGCATACCAACATTTGGATTTTCACAGGAGTCACCAGGTAGTGTATTAGATCTACAGATGGTTTCTTCCGAACTTTCACCCTTATGCTCATCGACAACAGATTTTGAAAAATTTGGTAGTGATCACTGCCCAGTTATAATGACAATTCCCATCAAGCTTGCGATGAGTTGCCGGAGCTCTACCAGACTGGTTCTCAGAAAGGTTGACTGGATAGAATTTAACAATCAAATATCGTCCAGCCTACCTGAGCTTGAGGCATCGGATAATGACCCACTGGAAAAATATGATCATCTTGTGGGCCTTATAGTGGAATCACTTGTTGCGGTAGGAGCCTATGTTCCGAGAGGTTCTGGTCCCTCTTCACCGATTAAACCCTCTTGGTGGTCAGAGGAATGTGAAACGGCACTTCGAGAGAAAAAGAGGGCTAGAAAGGCATACCTTCTATTCCCGGATAATGAGAATCTTGATCTGTATTTACGGATTGAAGGAGAAACAGAGCAGGTACGTTTTGAACAGAAAAAAAGACCTTCAGATCATTATGCAACTCGATCTCCCCCAATATGGGGTCAAAAAGAATCTGGGAACTAATAAGAGCGTTTTCTGGGAAATTTTCTAAAACAAATATCAAGACAAACGACTTGGACTCGGAAGTCCTGAAATCTTTACAAGATGACATGGTTAAGAAAGACATTCCTCCTATACAGCATGTGAAAATCACCCAAGTTGATGAGGATAACGAATATAATAAACCTTTCTCAAAAGCGGAATTTTACTCGGCCTTAGCCAAGTGTAAGAAAGACTCAGCACCAGGCCTAGATACCATCATCAAAAGGCTTCCATCTCCCTGCCTTGAGATGATCAGAGGCTTTTTTAATGACTGTTATATTCAATCCATTTTCCCATCATCATGGAGATCAACTCTGATTCGATTTATCCCAAAACCAGAGGGTAAAGGATTCCGACCGATATCACTCACCTCGGCCTTGGGAAAGCTGATGGAGAGAATGGTAAATACACGACTAGAGCATTACATGGAACAACAGGCCCTTATCCCTGACCATCAATATGGCTTTCGTAAGGAGAGATCTGCTCTGGATTGCGTTACCTTTTTGACCACAGACATACTCCACAATTTCTCACAGAAAAAGAACACAGTGACAGTGGCCCTAGACATCAAGGGAGCATTTAATGCCCTCTTGCCATCAGCGGTCATGAGTCAGCTGAGGGATTCGGAGGTACCTGCAAGAATACGCAATTTTGTATCATTTATGATCACTGAGAGAGTACTTCATTTCGGGGGGGAATCCTCTGCCCCACGAATATGTGGGGTTGGAGTGCCTTAGGGAGGGGTCCTATCCCCACTATTATTCAACCTGGCTCTGAGAGAGATAAAGCAAATTATTGGAGAGGACGTGCAGATATTGCAATTTGCAGATGACATCTTGCTTTATGCTGCAAACGAAAATCTAAATTAAGCACAATCCCTAATCGAAGATGCCATAGATAGGTTAATCCCTTGGCTCTCAGACCTCGGTTTTAGTGTTGCTGCAGGGAAGAGCCAGATGTGTATATTTTCGAGAAATGCAGATGACCTCTCTGCAGAGAAATTAAGGGTGGGAAATAATCAAATAATGAATTCTAATAGTATAAAATACTTGGGAGTCATCATGGATCGCAAACTGGATTGGCATGAGCACATTGATGATTTGGTGCTGAGAGCTAACAAATCCTTAAATATAATAAGAACATTGGCAAAAGTGACATATGGAGCCCATCCAGAGTCAATGCTGGCAGCATACAGAGGTCTCACAAGATCACTGCTTGAGTGGGCTTCTATACTCTTCGCTAACACCGGACGATGCAGATTAATTAGATTGGACCGTGTCCAATTTAGTGCCCTCAGGATCGCTCTAGGGTGTATGAGGACAACCCCAATCCCGATTCTTCTTTCGGAAGCAGGGGAACCTACCCTTGAGCATAGAAGATCTTTACTCTTAAATAGAAATTCTATCAGGATCTCTAGCTGGACTCATAATCATTTGCTGCGGAAACTAGAGGACTTGTCACTCGAGATCGCTATAACAAAACAGACACCTAAGTATCTATATAACTTTCCCCCATTAAAACACTTAAAACCAGTCGGGGATTTGTCATCCTCAACTATAAGACCACTTAAACCGGCCTATTACGATAGAGACTGGGCGGAGCTTATAATAGAAGTTGAGCACATCATAGATAAGGAAACGGGTTATGACATTAGATCAGCTGAAAATCCTCGAAAAGCATTCCATGATGTTGTAACAGATAGATACAGCATATACATATACTCTGATCTATACAGATGGATCGTATGCAGAGAGTAGTGGAAGAGCGTCCTCGAGCTTCTTCACATACCACAGACTCAATTTAGACTGGGTGGCGGAGCTGAATGGTATCCACTCGGCTCTCAAACACTCCATTGAGGAGGACGTCATGCATCCTTTAATTCTTACGGACTCTATGAAAGCACTGCAGACAATCAAGGATAGATTGAGAGACTCTGAGTCCAGAGTACTAGTTCATGAAATTGCTTCAATGATCATGCAACTGATTCACCTTCAAAAAGACATCAAAATGCTCTGGATTCCATCCCATTCGAACATACCGGGCAATGAAGAGGCGGACAGGTTGTCAAAACTGGCTTTAAACCTTCCAGTTGGAAAAAAGCCTTCTTTTCAAAGGAAGACTTTAAAAGTTTAGTCAATAATGATTACCTGTCGACAATTAAACTTGCGTGGCCTTTTTACCCGGAAGCAAAAACCAAGCAAAAGTACTTTAATTACATTACAGCAAAATCCGAAAGACCCTGGTTTTCAGGTTATGACCTGCCAAAACGAAATATTAACCTGATAACGAGGCTTAGAACGGGACACATCTGTGTAGGAGAGCTGTTTTCCAGATTGGGCTGGAACATCTCACCAGCATGTAGATGTGGAAATGAGATGAGCTCAATCCTACATTATATAAATGACTGCCCCCTATTTACCGAAGGGAGGGCCAAATTTATAGAATTCTTTTTCAATAAATTTAAAACTAGAACGGTCAATCTCCCACAATGGAACCTTTTGATTTATAGTCCAACGATGGAAACGGTCACAGAAATTAGTGACCTTCTGTTGAGGGACGATATAATAATTTAAATTGTTTTCGGAAACTGGTCAGAGGCTTGGTTGTTGTTGATAAGGCTAGTCAAGTAGTTTGCACTTAATTTTAACCTTAGTTAGTAATCTTAGTTAGCATTGACATCAATGTCAATGCCTTTTCAATATTTAAGTTTAAAAAATTAAGCAGAAAATGAGGACCTATAAGCCCCCTCAAAAATAAATAACTAAAAAATATTTAAAATTAAAAAAAAATAAATAAATAAAAATAAAAAAAAATTATAGAAGTAGAGAAGTACATTGATTAATAATAACTACTAAATCGAACTTGACTAAAAGTTACAGGTTCTTTTAGTGAACAGACCGGGGGTATAAAATATATTCATGGAAATTAAACACAAAAAGCAATTAACTCAAAAGTATATATATAATAAAATACGAAAATAAAAAGATTATTGCAAGTAAATGCTCAATAGAAATTCAAACCATAGTAGCTGATCATATAGGGAATGTTAGTAAAATTCTCCTGTACCCCACCCTATCATGATCCTAACAAAAGCACTAAACAAAAACTAAGCTATGAAAACTATAATTATTCTAAAAACATATAAAATATCGAGATACTTATAAGTATTGTATGTCAACAGACATTTTTTAAAAATTTTTTTCCCTCGTACAACTGATTGGATGGTGGTGACACCTAGTGTTAAACATAGCAGAACTACAAGTGTCTTCTTAAGAAGAACGTCTTTGTAATACATTACTGGAAACTATATATCTGGAATTGGCCTGACTAGTCGAAGCCATAATTTAAGAAGAAGAAGATATAGAAAGACGGCTCGAGTTCGACTTCGACTGTCATTCAGTACACATCTCAAGCATTTACTTTTGTGAGGAAAACCTCACTTGTAATTTTGTTCAAAATCTTATAAATAAACCTACTTTAAAGCAAAATCTGTGATTTCAACAATTTTAACAATTTTACCGAAGTCGTCATAAGGAATAAAATTGTTATTTTAAAATATAAAGTGAATTTCAAATCTGGATAAAGGCCGGTTAATTTACATATTTTCAAATCTACAAACAACTGAATAAAGGTATTGCCGTTCCTTTTTCTCTTTATCACTATTACATTCACCCATACAATAGTCCATGTCACTTCTCCTTGGGATGCAAATCAAAACAATAACATTAGCGTAACTACCTATAATACTCAATTTAAATTAAAATTAAATATCTTTCAATTTAATATTGAACCAGAATTTATATATTTGATTTACTTTTGATTTACCTTTCAGCTCTTAAATAAAATATTGTTGAAACTGGATTTAATTTAAATACATATTAATTCAATTTATTGATATCATTATTACTATAACAATTAATTAATTAATAACGAGCTTAACACAGATATATGTATCATAATCAGACAATAGTTATAATTTTATAATAATCGTTTTAATAATTTAATCTCCTGCTTTCCCAAGGTAGAAGATTTTATTTTTGTATTTTGTTTTCCCAAGATACATATTCAAGCTACACAATAATTATTACTCTTCTTTATATTACATATATATATATTTCTGTTTTGTTTCGAGTGTTTTATTTTTTGTTGTTTTACTAGTTTAATAATTTGTAGAATATTGAAGTGGTCAATATTATATAATAAAGATTAATTCAATTTAGTAGACATCTGAGTCCATTTTTGGGTACGTTTTTTTCTCTCTATTGTTCTCTTTTAGAGCTTGATAATGGCTCCTTCTCCTCACCTTAAACTTAAACTTGGCAGTCCTCGCATAACATCTGCACCTGGGCTGGCTTCTGCCTCACGTCAACCGCCTCGCGGCCGATCTACCAATATCGGGAACATAAAAAGAACTTTAGACTTGTCAAATAAAAGACCAGGTCTCTCCAATAAGATCACAAATACCATCGCCGTTATGACAGAGGCCAATCTTCTTGATCCTCCTCTCACAACACCAATTCCAACATCAACATCGTCCTCGGTAAATACCAACATCAATGATGAGCGCGCCAAGTTACCAATTCACTCAAATAAAAATGATATACTCACACCTACACCATCTGCCTCAACACAACCATCTCTTTTAGAAAATTTCGATCCACAAACTTCAGCTCCAATAACCTATGATTTGCTTTGGTTCAACAATGACTTTCATGGTGAACACAGATTCCCAAACTCCTCACCCCCTCCATATACCGTATTAATTGAATCAATTATTGAGAACAAAAAGATTGGTAAGTACAATCGTATAGCTTTCGCGGATTACTTGGAAACATTAGTAAGTGACCCAACCCGCATAATTGTTTCTAACGGTCTTAATCAACTTCGTGTAACCTCTTCTACTTGGAACTTAGCGAACGATCTTCTAGATACTACCATCCTTCGCTCAAAAGGGTATAAGTTATTTATCCCAACATCCCTTGTCAGCAGGAAGGCCCTGGCACACGACGTCGATCTTGACCTTTCTCCGCACGCTATCAGTACTAAACTACTGCCAGAAACGTTAGAGAACATCATCTCCATTCGTAGGAGAACATTGAATTCGGAAGAGATTTCAGGACTTGTGGAGTATGTCTTTTCGGGTATCTCCATCCCCGACTCGATTCTCATTTCAAGGGCGACCTTCAAACTTACTCTATGCGCCCCCCCCCCTAAACGCTGTCACAAGTGCCAACGATTCAGGCACATCAAGGACCAGTGCAGATCCACGCATCATACGTGTGAATTCTGGATCTCTCTAACGACAGTAAGATGGAGGAAGATGTCTCCTCCAAATAAGTATTTGTTTTCTGTGAATTGTATTTTGTGTTTTGTCTTTACTTATTTCACAATAACATGATTTCTAGGTGAATTTTACCTGATATTATATAACTTATTGACGTACGATCATTTTAACATAGTGACTTATTTATAACAATATTAATTCTGAATCGATTTATCATATATTGCATGTTTACTTCGACTGTATACCTGTCCCTAATATGTCCTCTCAACAGTTCAGATCCCTAAACAAATCTTTCTCTCTTTTATTGTGGAATGCGAGGAGCATCATTCCCAAAAGATCTGAATTGGAAACACTGCTGTGGATCCATAATCCGGACATTGTTTGTATAACAGAAACCTGGCTTTCCACACCTTTCCACTTTGAGATTCCCAATTTTATAACAGTCAGACAAGACCGACCCGGCGGCAGAGGTGATGGTGTCATGATCATTATACGCCGGGAGATAGCTTTCCGTATTACAGAACGAAACACCTTCCAACATACAAATCTCCAAATTGACCTTGTTTCCATAACTGTTCCTACCTTATATGGTGATACACAGATCTCCTGTCTATATGCCCCCCCAGGAGGTGATATTCCTCCTCACACTTGGGACACCATCTTTGAATCCCTTCCATCCGCCAACAACTATATCTTTTGCGGCGATTTTAACGCCCGCAACACCTGCTGGGGAGACACTAGCACCAACATCAGGGGTTCCTCATTACTCACTTTTTCCCTATCTAAGAATTTATTTGCATCAAATACTACGCTCCCTACGAGATATCAAGATGCCAATGTTTCTGGCAGTAACCTCGACCTAATCCTCTGCTCGGCATCCATTTTACAAACATCCGCTACCACTGTCATCTCGGACGCCTTTTCTTCTGACCATCTGCCTGTTCTTTTGTCTGCTGATATTAGACCGAAAAAGGTCTCTTCCGTGTCTGTTAAATACTGCCTAAAAGAACTTAACTGGTCTGAGTTTCGAACCTCTGTGGAGCGGTCTGCCCTTGACTTGGCTCGGTCCTTGGGTACCGCAGACTCTCCTGCTGATATATATGGAGTTTCTGGCTGGTCTCAAGCGAAGTTTGCTGTCCGGGGGGGCCTTTATTCCCCAGGGTCGAAGCTACAGACCTTATTCTAAACCACTATGATGGAACGCGGACTGCGACAAGGCCCTGCAGGAGCGCAGAGATAATTACAGGTGGATCCAAGTCAACCAGACGGCTGAAAATAGGGCAATTTTTAAAAAAAAGAATGATGCTATAAAACGCAAATTAAGGGAACAGAAAACGCTAGCTTTCAGGAATTTTTGAGAGAATATGTCTCCAGATAAAGGGTCCTCTACCCTGTGGCGCACTCTGAAGGCTCTTTCTTCCCGTACATTCTAACTTTCTACAAATATCTCTACCGATTCTCAATCTCTAAGTGTCAAAAAATTCCAAAACGACCTCCTACGCAAGGATATACCTCCCTCTAACATTCCATATATCAACACACCAAAATCCTACAGCACCAACAATTTCCTCCCCTTTACCAGCGTAGAATTTAAAGCCGCCATTCAGTCGTGCAAACCAAAAACCGCACCAGGGCTTGATGGTATTACAGGGAAATCATCAAAGGCCTTACACCTGCTACACATGAATTTCTTTTCACCCTATTTAGCCGAATGATGTTACTCTCTTCCTTTCCACCCTCATGGCTCCAAACACGTGTCATTCTTCTACCCAAACCGGGCGGCAAAGGCTATCGTCCGATCGCTCTCACCTCTGTGTTCTCGAAAATTTTTGAAAAACTTATACAATTC